TTTTTTGTATTGTTTTCTTAGTCTCCATTGCATTGATTTCTGCCCTGATCTTTGTAATTTCCTCCTTTCTATGGGCTTTGGGTTTGTCCTGCTTTTCTTTTTCTAGAAGCTTGAGGTTCAGCATCAGGTTGTTTAATTGGGCTCACATTTTTTTTTTTAATATGAGTATTCACTGCTATGAATTTCCCTCGTAAGACTGCTTCCATTGTGTCCCGTAGATTCTGATATGTTGTATTATGATTGCCATTTAATTGAGGGAACTATCTGATTTCTTTTTTTAATTTTCTCTGTGACCCATTGGTTATTCAGAAGTGTGTTGTTCAATTTCTATGTGTTTATAAGATTTTTGCAGTTTCTTTTGCTATTTATCTCCATTTTCATTGCAGTATGGTCAGATAATATACAGGGGATAACTTCAGTTCCTTTGCACTTACCTACATATGTTCTGTGAGGGCGTATGTGGTCTATTTTGGAGAAGGACCCATGTGCAACTGAAGAGTATGTGTATTCTGATTTTGTGGAGTGGAACACTCTGTAAACATCTGTTATGTTCATTTGTTCAAGAGTTCGATTGAGTTCTAGTATTTTGTTGCTTGGTTTTTGTCTAGTTGATGTATCTATTTGTGATAGTGGGGTATTGAGGTCCCCCACTACAATTGTATTAGTGCTTACATGACTTTTCATGTCCGTTAGTATTTGTTTTATATAGTTGTGTGCACTAGTGTTTGGCGTATAGATATTTATGATTGTCATCTCTTCCTCTTGGATTGTTACCTTTACAAGGATGTAGCGTCCTTCTGTGTCTCTCTTAATCAGTGTTGGTTTGAAGTCCACTTGGTCTGCAAAGAGGATAGCTACTCCTGCTTTTTATTGGGTTCCTGTCACATTGAGTATTGTTTACCACCCTTTAACTTTCAGTGTATGAGTTTCTTTTTGAATTAAGTGTATTTCTTGTATGCAGCATATTGTTGGATCTTGCTTCTTGATCCATTCTCCCAGTCTATTTCTTTGATTGGTGAATTGAGACCATTAACATTGATGGTTATAACTGATACATACTGAGTTATCATTGTCATGACTTTTTCTTTTTGTTGAATTATTCCTCTTTGATTTTAATTGCTTGTTATGCCCAGTGGATTCATTCTTCTGTGCTTCTTGGGATTGTGATCCTCGTCTTTTCCTAGGATT